GCCAACATCTAAATACTCACCTACAGGATCACGAACAGATTCATTAGTAAATTTACTTAGACAAAACAAAAACTGCAATTACCACGTTGTCGAATTAACAGAAATTTAATTACGGCCACTTTCGTTCAAGAATTTTTATCATAACTTAGACTGTGAATAAGCCGTTTTCGTCGGCAATGTTGTTCATTTGAGCGCTTATTTATTTTGGTTCACCCTAGCAAAGAAATCTTGCTCTAGAAAGTTATTCGATGCGTTTTAATTGTAATACTGGCTTGTTTACGCTTTTAATGGACGCCCTTTACAGTATTTTGTACATCTTTTTACACAGTTAAAATTAAGTATAGACGCCTACTTCATTTTCGATCGAAACCGAGAAGGTTGAAAGGGGGGGGGGGGGGTTTACCATTATATCTAAGGTTTCGTTTGATACGTATATGATCCATGTAAACAACACACCCACCATGATAGAAACAGACAGACTGAAAGTAGTGCATTTATTCAATTTTTTAAAAAAATTGCGTTATAAAGGAAGTCGAACCTAAGAACGCAAGAATTTCTAAAACAATAATGATTTTTTGAATTGTTTCGTAGGCACTTTTCGCATGAGTATGCTCTAAAATTCTAAATAAATGGTACCAGATTTTGGAAGAAGATTTGAGATCCATTTTTCTTCGAACCATTTTATGAAATTATTTCCATTCAAGTCATCGTGGCAGTCTCCAGTCTTCCGCAATTAAAAATTAACAACGCATTTGGTACAAATTTACCCTCATGTAGTGCGTGTAATATCACTAAATGTGGTCCTTTCTCAAATCGCAATCCCAATTATTTTATTTGTTGGGATATTTAAATGAAATTATTAAATGAAAGTTAAACTAATGCCGAATTAGAACATTTGTTTTTTTTATTTGTTCAGATTTTTAAATGAAATTTTGTATGTAGCCACTTTAAGTAAAAGTAAAACTGATGCCGGTTCAAAAAATTTGTATTTCAAGCTATGCTGATCTGGTGGTGCAGAATCAACCCCTTGCTATGTGTCGTAAAAATGATGGATGTGTGAAGATCTCGAGGATCGTTCGGTATTCTGTTGTATCGGATTTTTTTAATATGAATTTGAATCCCCCTAAAACTCGGCAAAATGCATGATTTGGCAAAAATCCAAAAATCCGTCGAAGGGGATCAATTTTTATCCAAAAATAATTCTTGCAATTTTAATCCTGTCGGCGGGGTTGTAACCCCCTACCAATTTTTTTATGGGACCAAGGAATAGAAATATACAATATATATTATTTAAAAAATACAACTGTGACATAAATCACCCTGTACAACAATTGCAATTTCTTTGAGAACATTTTTAGATTGTAACCTTAAGAGTCCTTCAAACATGCCCCGACAATGAATATTACACATGTGCGTTAATAAATCCACCTTTGGTTTGCGGGTCAACTGTTTCTTTTTAATAATCCAATTGTATATTCAAACAAGCAAAGTGCTATTGTAGGGATGTTGTTTCCAGGGGTGGATGGGGCCGGTGGGAAACCACAAACACAAAATATTACTCAATTTTAGGGGCACTTGTCATAGTTCCAGCTTCTATTTGGCGACACGAGAAAGAGAGACCGCGATTCGAGCACTTAAGAAACTTTTAGGTGCGCACATTCGGACCAAAACTGTAGAAGAAGAAGGAAAAATCACCACGTTAGTACAACACACTTCGGGATGGCTCCTAGATGTCGCCAACCGCATCATGTAGTAACTTGTTAATTACACGATGCCGGTAGCACTCCTCGTCTTCCTCTAAGCGTTTTTCTACAGACCCGCATTTCCTGCCATCCAGCAAGCCAGCCGGCTCAAGTGATATTAAAAGCTACCTTTGACACAAATTTGCAAAGATGCGCTAAAAATGAAATAACTAATAAGGATATTTAAATGAGTAAATTGAAAGAAAATTGAGAATTTGTATGTTCAGACTAAAATCAAGCCATTGCATCGATTAAAGGTAGAAAGAAAGTATACAAATTTCTGTATGGATCTTTCCTTTTTAAATTCACATAATTTCCCTGATATTAAAAATGAAGTATTGCCTAATAATCTACTGGAAAAACGTTGGAAAAAAATGCCATTCCTGTTCGATACCGAGAAGAAATTTAAGATCCTGTCGGGGGCAACCACAATTGAAATTTCTTCAAAAAAAAAATGTAGAAAAATTGTCAACCGTCCACCGCATTGTTTCCGAACGATGCAAATAAAAAACACAATGTAGATGATTTCTCTAAAAGTGCCGTTTGTAGTAGTTGTCAAAACTGCTTTAGATGCTGTTATAGTGCGATTACCAGTAGAATTTATATCAAGAAGCGATTATTGTAGAAATTCTAAGGCGCCATGAAAGAAGAAGAATCGGCTGTAAAGAGCGGGGACAGATGTGACTCAATCTTTCCGGGAAATACGACGTTGTTAGAGAACATTCCAGAATACTCGGGAGCCTTTCAGAAAGAACGGCGTTTGCTATATAAGCAAATCGAATTGCGTTTCAATCAGTTCCAATTTCAAGGCCGAAGTAATGAATAGTTCGCACTTATAATTACTGTTATAAATTAATCCATTTTAAGACTTACACATTAATTAATTGATTCTTATTCTTTCGCGTATAATTCCGATTAAGGAACAGATTGTGTAACAATAATTCTAGAAGCATTTATGTTGTTGGGAAATAATTATCAACGATCAGTGTTAGAAAAAGCATAAATGTTTGAAATTAGGGCGCATTGAGTACCCCCTCCCCCACCCGCTAAGTGGGCCGATAGTCAAGTATATTTCACGGACCGGTTTATCGTTCCCTATCCACCCCTGGACTTGTTTCCGAAGCTGTAAATAAGTTTTAGAAGAAGTTTTCCAAAGAATCCTGTGGTTTCATCCTTATTTAAAATGCTTGCTAAGAGAACTACATCGTGTTGGTGTACGTGCCAATAGCCCCGTTCCATTTTTCGAATTTGACCCAAGGAAGTAGTAACTAGTGTACGATGTAAAGCTCGAAATTTGATCACTTAATTAACCACATCATTTAAATCAGAAGGTAAAACTGCACTACCTTTCCTTTGTTGCAGAATTTTCACTTTTTTTTTACACAGTTAAAATTAAGTATAGACGCCTACTTCATTTTCGATCGAAACCGAGAAGGTTGAAAGGGGGGGGGGGGGGTTTACCATTATATCTAAGGTTTCGTTTGATACGTATATGATCCATGTAAACAACACACCCACCATGATAGAAACAGACAGACTGAAAGTAGTGCATTTATTCAATTTTTAAAAAAAAATTGCGTTATAAAGGAAGTCGAACCTAAGAACGCAAGAATTTCTAAAACAATAATGATTTTTTGAATTGTTTCGTAGGCACTTTTCGCATGAGTATGCTCTAAAATTCTAAATAAATGGTACCAGATTTTGGAAGAAGATTTGAGATCCATTTTTCTTCGAACCATTTTATGAAATTATTTCCATTCAAGTCATCGTGGCAGTCTCCAGTCTTCCGCAATTAAAAATTAACAACGCATTTGGTACAAATTTACCCTCATGCAGTGCGTGTAATATCATTAAACGTGGTCCTTTCCCTAACGAAACGAGGCGATAAACCATTCATTACTGAACTTAATTTTTTTGCAAAATTTTTCCAAAATGCATCCATAACAGAGATGTTGCGTCTTTAAAAGGACCATACGGTATACAATGATGCTGATAAAAATAATAATTACACTTCCCTAAAACCAATTTTTCGTAGTAATCTCGCAAGAAAAGCTTTACTTTCTTGCTACAGCGTTGTATAATTAGCATGCAATTAATAAGAGAAGAAGTAAATTTCTGAATGTATAATAACACCTAAAAATGAGTTGTTAATCATCATTGATCATATCAACTTTATCCCCAACTTCAACAAAGGTTTAGCTTCTAATTACAAGGATTAATAAACGATCATTATGTTGCAATTTAAATGAATAAATAAATCCCTAAGTATTTTCCTGCATTTGACAAACTGATGTAAGTAGGTACTCTAAAACAGTTATCACACGCCACTGGATCTTCCTTTAATGTATTGTAAAGTGGAACATTCGTCTATGCGCTTATTATAAATACTTTACTCATTCATTGGGAGTCTAGCTAGAGGGTGGTTCCAACGGCGCGCATGATTACCAGCTTTATACCTGCCTTATTCCTAGCTCCCAAAGGAAGTATTTTAGACCCTTTACAAAAGAAGTGTCTTTACTGCACCTTATATGACAAATTGAGTTACACAATCTACATACCGGCGCCGGAGGAGGTTCTAATCTTAAAAGGTCTTCAAATGCTAACTTTTTTCCGTAGACAAACGGTTGTAATGCTGTACCCAATTGTGATTAAAAGGACTGTAACCTCATTCGTCAAATTCTCCAATTCAGCTACAAAAACCCAGAAAAACTGGCAACTGAAAGTCTGTACAAAGCGTAGGTTTATGTACGTTGAATATAAAGGAAAAGTTCTCCCTTGTAACCGTAAAAAAGTCGATGAAGATAACTTCTTTCTTAATGTTATAAATCAATCCTGTAAACAATATTAGTAAAGATACTGTATTGACATTGTGTGTCAGTAAATAAAATTTTTTAGGGCAAATGCTTTCGTTATCAACGTAAAGCAGAGGACTATAAAGCTTCGGAAGATTAAAATGAATGTTCAAAGTTTTTTTTTATTGATTTGGTATAGAAACTGTAGGAACCCATTCCGCAGTAATGTACAAATTATATCGCCATCAAAAGAATTTTGGTACACGACGGCAGTGTTGAACGACCGAAGAAAATATGCGAGTAGGTAAGTACGCACTTTGTATTTCTAACGCCTTTATAAAAAGAAATTGCTTGATTCTCTACTGTCATTGTAATTTCTAAATAGGGAAGTAAAATTGTTAAGAAGCACAAACGCAAGCGCGACGGTGGTGCGTTTCTATATTTTGCCTCATTCTCGTCGCGACGCGCGTTTACGCCTAAGCTTGAAGCCCTATATGCGCTCATTACCCACGAATCGTAATTAATACGAACTTTAATCGGTGACAGTTTATAAAATGTGGAATTTGTACACTTGACTGCACTTCCCCGATCATGAGGCTTTTATGGAAATTCTTTTTGGATACCCTCTTAATGTTTTGCTGTAATTGTAAGTTTATATCTTTCATACTTTTCCAATGCAGACAATGCGAACTTTTTGCCATAGTAACTCGAAGGATTACATTTGGCTTCACTTTAATTAATTTTTCCAATTCAACGGACAAGGACGTACTGTCGTTTCCGAAAGCTGTTTAACAAAGCTCCAACGACATGTTTTTAACCCATGCTAAAAACTCATTAAATTTTAATTAACTTTAAATTGAATTACGCTGATTGAAAAATTTCGATATCCCCCGTTAATTTTTTTGCTGTCAACTTGCTGTTATTAATTTTCCTGCAGTACGTACGAATTTGAAGTATTGACACTCCAAAAGTTTTTCAACAATGTAGACTAGTTGAATGCAATTTTGTTAAACGTAATGTAATTAGGTAACCACGTATAGAGGAAGAATGAACAAAAATTGTACGCTATTTAATAGTGTGCTGCAGATACAAGCCATATAGCGAGAAAAAAAATGGCAATACGCCTATATTGGGCCAACACGGTTTGGCACGCTTCCAGAAATATTAAATACTGCATATGGCGATTGGTGAGAGCAGTTTGCGGGAATTAAGGATTTGTGCATTGTTAAGCGACTGGAAGCTTAAATTTAACTTATAACTTATGTTGCGACAATAAGTACGACGCGTCTTGTAGATTCTTTCGATTTATGCGGAAACTTACTAATGAAGTTTAGTTCCTTCATAAATTCCAGAAAGTTGGTGATAACAATTGCGGCATTATAATGCATTTTTCTCGAGTTTCGACACCTAACCTCACGTTATAGAATCATCACAAATTTCGAGTATTAGATTGAATAACCTACTCAGGCTTCAGGTACAAATTTCATAAATAGTAAAGACAATGCCATAAACTCAAGACGGTAATGAATAATTCAAATGGCTTGAATTCACAAATGTGCCATAAAATCTGAGGTTTCTTCCAGATGTTATTTACTTTCACTTTATTGAGACGAATTTTCTCAAACAGAAAATATCCAAGAGAAAGAAAAATTTTAACGGAATTTCCCAAGGAAGTGTTGATATTTGGCAGATTTGTGGATTAATTGTTGACACATTGATTCATTTATGTACACGCTACAGATTTCGGATTGTGTTTTCGCTTTCATTTTTATTTTTTAAGATCGTCTTTCTACTATGTTCTTCCGCCTTTCTAACAGGTCTGTTCCACAACATCCGTTTTTCTTCTAGGTATGTATTGATATCTTTTTCCCTCCCCATGTTTTTCGTATTACTCAATCTCTAATTTATCCAGTCTGTTAGTCCATTTACGTTGCTGCTATCTTTCCCCGGTTTTTCTTATCGGTGGCCCATACTTCTGCCCCGTATGTCTTTATTCTCTATACCATTATCCTGAATATCCGGATTTTTGTGTTTTTAATTATATCACGGTCCCATAGGATTGAGTGAAGTGGCCTTATAGGTGTTCTAGTTAGTCCCAGTCTACTTTTTATTTCTTCCTCAGTCGTTAGGATTCTCCTTTTGTGATGGTGAATCTCAAGTCTTCTAATTTTAGATCGTTTATATTTTGTTCTTCGGTCGCTAAATATTCTGTTTTGTTGAAGTTCATTTATAATCCATTCATGGTGTACTCTTCTTTCAGTTATCGTACCATGTAGCTCAGATCTCCCTCATCTTGCGCTATTTTCACTTGGTAATCTGCAAAGCTAAGTGTATAGATGTGGTCATCTCTAACGGGTACTCTCTCCCTTCACATTTCCTTTTCCAGTTACATAACACGTGTTCTATACGTATTTTAAATACTACAGTGGGTGATGTGGAACATCCCTGTACCAGTTCCTTGGTTGTCTCGAATTTCTTCGTAACTTTCCTACCGATTTTTAGTCCAGTTGTTTTTACACATGGATTTTTACTGCGTTGGTCAGTGTTTGGGGTATTCCGATTTTCGACTTGCCTTCCACATTTCCTTTCTTGCTACCGTTTGTGCTTTTCGTAAATCGATGAATGCTATGTGTATTGATCTTTTTCTTCTCTAATAATTGCTGTGTGGTGTAAGTATGGTCAATGGTTGACCTTCCTGCTGTAAATCCTGCTTGTTCCTCGCTTACCATCCCTTGAATTTGGGTTTCTATCTTATTCCGTCTTACTTTCCCATAGGTATATTCCTCACATCATTGCTATGACACTCATTCATTTGTATCCGTGGGTATTTCTTGTCCATTTGCAACTTCTTGGAACATTTATTTATTTATTTATAGAAGGTCCTAAGTTGTTATATACTACTCCGGTATTTACCTTTCGAATTAGGAAAACTGCAGGAAAAACCCTAATTCGGACTGATCTAAAGAAATTCCCATCTCTACCACAGATGAAAAATTCACCTCAACCCAGGTTCGAACACCTGGCCTCTCGGCTGTGTAGCCCAACTTTCTACCACTGAGCCACACAAACGGTCATTCTCTGCATTGTTTGAATCAATAATTTGTCTGTATCGTATTTTATTAATTCCTGTACATTGTACATTACCGCCAGGCTCTGTCACATTCCCATTTTTGTTTGTTAATCTTTTATACATTCTCACTCTCTGATGTATGCTATCATAAGTTGTTCTCTACTCGATTTCATTACTTTTATTGTTCTTTGGGACGAGCTCCGCGTGCCTCCTATATACTGTCCTATACAGGGTGACAATTTGAAAACCTACCACCCCCCATGTCTTAGTAAATAAACGTGATATTTAGAAATTCAAAATCCGTTTCGGTAATTCGGAAGGGGAATCACAATGACATAGTTGGCGACGCACCCCCCCCCAACCCCTGCGCCTCAGCCACCCCAACTTTTAAATCCTAAATAGTGACCCCCCATGTGTGATACGTCGTTGGAAAGCTCTAAAAAAATGCTTTCCAACCATACCAAATAGTATTACATTTAGGTTTTTTACAATTCTTTTTAATTGCGTTTTTTAATGGTAATTATCTCATTTGTTCAGTGGCTACTGCAGTTATTAAATAAAGGCATATTGTTTTTGGTTTAATTTGCATTCACATTTCTTTTCATATCTTTCCCAAACTCCTAATGCTTCACTAGTTGCTGTTCATATGTTCCTTCTGTACTGTCGAATCCAAACACCTCTAACTTGTTATTTAACCTAATTTTGGTATTGGTACAGCTCTTTTATGGTTTCGTCCTGCAGGAGGTTTAGTTTAAATTGCATTTCTTTTTCTAACTTCAATATATATTTCTCCTTATCCATTTCCTTCTCAACTTTTCTTTCATACCATGGCAATTCCATCTTCGCTATTAATAACCTATGATCCGTTCCACATTCCGCGCCTCTTTTAACCCTTACATCCTTGATGTTGATGGCGGACTTTTTCTTTATCATGATATAATCTGTAATTGATTTTAATCTCCTTGTTTCCTGGGTTCATATGTACTTATGTTTTTCTTGGTGTTGGTAAAATCCGTTAGTGCTTATAATTCACATATAATTCTATTATTTTCTTCACGTCACCGTGTCTTCTCCGTATTGTCCTACGGTGTCATCATTATCTTTTTTCCCGCACTAATTCCTTTGCTTTAACTCTCTGTTTTTATTCATTCCGCTCCAACGATTCCATCGATGTTTTCTATCCCATTTCCTTTTACTTTGTTTCACTCATAACTAAAACGTCGAGATTCGTCTTTTTAAATTCTTGTAACTTCCTTATCTGCATTTCTCTATCCTTGAATACCCCTATGATCATTTTCTTCCTTTGTTTCTTCTTTATTCATTCTTCTCTCTGGTTAAGATTTTCAACGGTAGGTGCTGAGTCTTCGAATCAAAATATGGTGCCCCCTATCCGTTGGGACTCCCTATTAGTGAGGTGTGCATTACCATCCTGGGAATTGATTTTTCATTCTGCCTTTGACTTCTCTTTTCTCCCATTTTTTAGCGTGTTAGGTTGCTTAGATCTAACACCACAACCCCTTCATGGAGAACCTAAGATCCAGCCGTCCATTCTGGATCAGACGCTGCTGCCAGTTTTGGTTCGCCCCGGGTATTTTATTTCCCCGTTACCCACCATTATCTAATAGGTCTTCCCTTGTCCGCCACCCGGGGAGGCGCCGGATGGGAAAAACTGTGATCATAGTTCAAGCTAGGAAGTTAAAAATATGACTGATGCGCGATCTTCCATGGTAAACAAATAATTTTTTGTTTGTTTCAGATTATGCTGTAAAGATGATCAAAATACAAAATTACCTGATAAATTTTGAACTAGATCTAGCGCAGAACTAATTAAAAACATGACTGACAACACACGCGGCATGCTAGACTTCATAAATTTTCTAAATATTGAATCACCAATTTCTCCATTTTTTTGTATATCAACCATATGCGACAAATGTGCGATATCCATATAGTAGGGGAGCTAGCACGAAATCCACTGAACGAGAATGATCAAAATTTTAACCGATGGAGTTCCATTTTGCCCTATCAGAGTATGCTAAAATCGATCGTCTGCCGCTTCAGGTCATACGACTTAAGGCGCTGCGGGTACTTCTTGTGCTACCAATTCTGAAAGGTTGTTTTTCGAGAAAATAAGTTATACACCAAATGAAAACGTTGATAATAGCTCTTAAAAAAATATTTTAAAAAATCGCGCACATTTGATAACTCCGTAAAAAACAATTCTTAGTCGGTTTTTCACGAACTTTCTACGGATATAACTAGGGTACCGTTGGAAGAATGAAGCTGATTTTTTTACAGACTAATGAGAGGTACAGCCAATGACTATGAGAGTGTTTCTTTTTTAAATTTTTTCTCTAATTATAAGTTATCTTATAATGTTAAGATAATAAGATAATCTTGTAATTAGAGAAAAAATTTAAAAACGAAACACCGTTAAGTCATTAGTAGTACCTATCATCAGTCTGTAAAAAAAATCAGCTTCATTCGTCCAACCGTAACCTAGTTATATCCGTAGAAAGTTCGTGAAAAACCGACTAAGAATTGTTTTTTTACGGAGTTATCAAATGTGCGCGATT